CCAAAACTGAGAATTCAGCATTTCATATTATGAAGACTCCCTGAGCACCCAACAAAACAATCAGAAAAAACACCTCTTGCTGGAAGCCAAGCCATAGTTTGTGTGGTTGAACCATGAATTGAACTTCCGAAACTTGATTCTCCTTGTGAGGGCTGATGGGAGAAGCCAGTCCAGGAGGGAGTTGAAGCGGGTGGTGCTGACCATGTCCAAGGGGAAGCCGTGGTGTGAGACCCGGCTGATGACCCACGTGTGGCTCCTGGTGCTGAGGAACACCTGGGGGGGAAGGCAGGGCTCAACCTCCTGCCCAGGCATCTCCTTGGTTTTGCCCTGAGTGGCAAATCCCATCTCCTGCACTTGAACCGACACAGAGTTAACCCAAGGGAAGGAGAGGACTTCCAGATGAACCAAACAGCTTGGGTGGCTTTGATAAAGTTCCCACAGCTGCTCAGTTGCCAGTCCTCCAGCGGCCCAAACTCTCCAGGAGCTGCAAAGCTTCTTCAAATGCCCTCAGTGAGAAGTGGAATTTATTGAGGAACCTGGGGACAAAGCTCCCTAGGGTACCTTGAGCTGATGCCTCAGGTTTTTACTTTTATATTTTTCAGATTCTGTGCTGCTTTAGTGTGTAAGTCTAGGCTTCCTATTATGGGATGGTGAGCTCTCTGCACAGAGGAGGGAGACAAAACAATTCCTTCTCCAGCTGGGGACCAAGGACAAATAATCCAAATCTCAGGCCCAAGAGCATAAACAACATGGACTGAAGAGAGAAAAACAAGGATGGGACTTCATGGGCTAAAGCTGGAATTGGACAATTAACTCCAATATGCAAATGGAGCAGAACTGATAAAAGTAAGAGACTTCATGACTGGTTGTGCATTTTATGGCCATTTTGGGTTGTGCTGGCCAAGGTGGATCTATTGACTCTTCTTAATAAATCTCTATTTTATTCTTTAGCTCTGTCTAGTCTCTGTTCTAGGTCAGCCCTCACAAGGCATCAGAGCCACTGGCTCTCAGAGGCCCTGTCTGGACCACCATGGAGCTGTACCTTGGCAGCCACATGGCTCAGCTCCACGGAGAGGTCACCGCCGGTGTTGCCGATGCCAACCACCAGGACACGCTTCCCTTGGAAAGCCTGCATGTCTCTGTACTCCCAGCTGTGCAGGCACTGGCCTTTGAAGCGACTTTCAATGCCTAGGCAGAGAGCAGGGAGCATCTCCTACTGCCAGATACATTTACTCACCCCAGCCTTATGCCCAGATCCTCTGCAGCCCCCAACTCTCCCTGCTCCCACCTCTGCGTGCAGCTGAGAAGCCCATGGAGGTCCTCTGTACTTCCTCAGCTCAGTCTTTGCAAATACTAAGAGAAAGCCTGGCTGCACCTTTACAAGGTGTTTTTCCCATTCCCTGCAATGCCCCCCACCATTTCCATGGGGTCAGGGTGCTGCCTGCTCCAGTGTGGAGGCTTCATGGAGCAGGCAGGCTCGCAGAGCAAAATCCAACCAGGGGACCCATGGGTGCTGGGGGAATCCCAATGCTGGGACAGGCCTTACCTGGGAAAGAAGCCAATGGCAAGTAGGGCTCCTGGTAGTGGCCAGTGCAAACCATGACAGCATCGAAGACATGGGACTCACGGACACCATGGGTCTCGGTGACCACCTCCCACTGGCCTGAGGCGCTGAAATCCGGGCACTTCCTCACACTGAGAACTGTTGTCTTGTACAGAAGCCCAACAGAACAGCAGTCAGGGACCATGGAGATGTGCCTGTGAAAGGCTGGGGCTGCTGGGAGCAGGCTGGCTCCCTTCCACTTCTGGAGCTGTTAAACCCCACCCTGCATTTCCCCTGGTGATGGCACTGGGGACAAGCCCGTGTTAAACCAGCCTTAGTTAAAACCTGGGGCCTAAAGGCTGTGTTCAGGACTCAAAAGGCACGTGGTCCTTGCAGGCTGGCACCCGGCCTTGTCCCATCCCACCTCCAATCTGCAGCTAGCCATGGCCCTTCTCCCCGTGGGTCCCTGCTCACCTGGAGGCGTACGTGCCGCAGGAGGTCGAAGTGCCGGGCGTACATCCTGAGGTATTCCAGGACCAGGCTGTGGGGCAGGTAGTTGGGAAAATCCTCGGGGAAGGGGAAGTCGCTGAAGCAGGACATCTCCTTGGAGGTGTTGGTGATGACTGAGCGGTACACAGTGATCCTCCTGTTGTCTGTGGAGTCCTGTGTGAAGCCAGTGCTGATGTTTCCAGGTGTGCAGGGGAAGACTTTCTCCCCATCAAGTATATGAGTATTTTTCTTCCTCACATTTTGGTACAAGGAATAAGCCAGGACTAGCACCTGGAGACAAGCATTACTGCTCCCTCTATTGGATTAAGCTCTTTTCTGACCCAGAGATGGGGCAACTGAGAGGTGTTTAAAATCTTTTATTCCATTTTCAGTCTCATGTGAAGGGTGAGACAATACAGATGTATTCACACCATCACAATCAGAAGCCAACTAATTCTTAATTAGAATACACTATAAGTGTTTCTTGGCCTATCAGTTTTTGCCACCCCATGCTGTAAATGCCTTAAAGCCAATCATCTAAAATTACCCTTCGTGGGTCCTACTACAGTGCATCTTTCACAGTTCTATTTCTCCAAAGTATCTGTATCTAGTCTTATTTGCAAGGCCATCCTTTGAAACTTTTCTCTAGTTCCATCTCTCTCCCAATGTCCTATTCCATGGCATTTCTAAGCCAGCATTTCTTATCTCAAGGTTTGCATACAGATGCACACTGTGTGAGCCTTCTGCCAGGCTTTGAGAATTCTCTACAAATCCATTTCCCATATTTCCCCCTCTCTCTTGAACGAAACAAACTTCTTTGATGGCATTGTTTATCATTTGCCGTGTACAGCGAAGTACACAAGGCACAATCACTAACATTGTCACTACAACAATCAATGCACGTAAACTTATTTTGCAAAACTCCATCCAATTCCCACACCCTCCATTTCCATCTCCAACTTGGAGTTGGGAGGAGCCATCCTTGAGGGCGTGGCCACCCTTTCCTCTTTGCTGCAGTCCAAGAGCATCCAAGGAAGGGGACAAACCCGGGGACAAACGCAGAGGGCACTGACCGTGTAGCGCCAGACGCCGCCGATGTCCTCGCTGCTCTCGAAGCAGGTGGGCTCCAGCCCCTCATCCAGGCAGCACTTGACAGAGGCCAAGCCCCCAGCCCCAGCCCCGATCACGGCCACGCGCCGGACCATGCTGGCCTGCAGCAGGTGACAGGCTGGTGTGACAGCAGCTGGAAACACAACAGCCCAGGGATCAGCAGAAACGCCAGCTCCTTCTTCCCAACCCCGGCAAAACACCCCTGGTCTTCTCCAGCTGCAGGTGTCCGTGAAGGAAAACTGTCCTGGGAGAAAGCCACTGCTGGTGCAAGTACCGTGCACAGATCCTGCTCATTTCCCTTCCTGCTGTGCCAAACCCACTCTGAGGGTCCAGGAATCTCCCTCCTCCATGGGGGGAAAAGGAGGCACTTTTAAACCTTGCTGTTCTGCTGCTTCAATTTATTCTCTTTTCCAGCCTAAACCAAGGCATGCAAAGAAGTTGCAGCTATCTTCTTCTGCCTGATCATCCTGAAACCTTTGGGAGAAGCAACTCCAGCTAAGTTGGCTAGTTTTCACGCTTTCCTTTTTAACTTCCCATTAAAGAGCAATCTCTTGAAAACAAAAAGGGTTTAAAAAGAGGGAAAAAAGCAAAGCAATGCCTGACTGAGCAGGAGCGCGGCACAGCCATTCAGAAGCTAGACAGCTCTGTGAAGGCAAGGCTGGGATTACAGGATATACAAAAGGTAAGAAACCCGGGAAACGCTGGGTATAAATGGGAGGAACTCAAAACCGGGGTGTGTAAACTGAGCTGCACCGAGCTTGACTGGAAAGCAAAGAAACTAGGAAAAAATGAGCCCACGTGAACTTTGATTAGATAAGAAATACTGCTACTGCAGGGTCTGCAGAAAGAGTAATTTCTAACTTTTTCTATCTGTTTTGTGTCAAAAAGTAAGTTAACATAAATAAAAACTGGAGGAAACTGAAGAAAGCCAGGGAAGAAATGAGGGAGGTGCAAAACAACTCCTTTGGCATTCACAAGCCTGGCCTGAGCCACTCCTTGATATGCCGGAACAGGGCAGGACATGCCCACAGCCACCTGCCTCGTTTCTGGAGCCTTCTTTGGCTTCAGGAAAGGGCAGGCAAGCTCAGGGTGCTCAAGCCACCCCACTTTTCCAGCGCTGCCTGCAGATGGTTTTACTCCAGAGGGTCCCTGCAACACCCCTCTCCCCACACCAGCAGCAAGGCAAAGCTAGCAGTGAATGCCAAAACCCTGGAGAGCTGTCTGCCCACTTTTAAACCCTGCCCAACCAACCCAAGAGAACTGAGGAGCAAACCTTGCCGGACAGCGCTGTGCCTTCGCCGCTCTGCCCTCCGAATTTCCCTTGAGTTTCTCTGGCTGTGGATTGGAAGGGAAGGCTGAAGTCCAGGCAGCTCGCCACAGCTCTTGCACCACTGACCTTTACACCTGCATTCCCCCGCCCTGTGGGCTTAAACGCACTGGAAGAAAGTTCTCAACCTGCCTGTGGCAGTGCCAGGTGAAAATTCAGAGATAATCCCAAAGGGAACACGCTTGCAAGGACTCCCACGCTGTAACTTGTCACTGCTCCAGCCCAGGCAGCAGCGTGGGGCTGTCCTGATCCTTTTGTGGTACCTCTGCTGGGCTCATGTTCTCTTGGCATCCCCAGGAGATCAGCAGAACACGCTCCCTTGGCCAGCAGACGGCGTGGATGTGGGACATGGAGCACCTCCCATGTGCAGCTTCATTTTGGGGAGTCAGGGAGAGCCCTGAGAGCCCCAGCCTCGTGAGTTGCTCACAGCAATTGGCAGCACAGCCCTGGCTCAGACACGGGCTCTCCCCCCCAGCTCTTCCCATGCACACAAGGAAAGGACAGGGAGGCATCTGCAGCATGCTCCTGCCACAGTCACTGAGATTTTATTCATTTAAAGTCTCTCCATGCACAAAACAAAGCCTTAGGATTGTTCAGTGGTGGGGCACGCAGGGAAGCAAAGGCAGGTGTGCTCAGCCCCACAGGCTCATGTGTGACAAACCACCACAACTGGAAAGATGCACCCATTCAACCCCAACTGGGGTTTTGGGGTTGCAGTGTTTAGGTTTGGAGAAGGGGACAGCCTGACCTGTGTACACAGCCCAGATAATTCCTGTGATAGATAATCACAGGAATATTTTCCCAGATAATTTTTGCTGCTGTGACACACCGCCACTTTTGCTGGTCTTGTCCTCTCTGCATCCTGTCTCGTGTGATCCAGGCACAATCATGGCACCAATCCCTGCTCTGTTCCTGGCAGCAGGCAGGGGAGCAGAGGGGCAACAGACACTTGGGCAAGGCTGCCATCCGTGGCTGATGAGGCCTGCAAAGCTGGGCTTGGGGTTGAGCTGGAGCAGAGGGAGGTTCATGCTGCAGGTTGCAGATTAAAGCTTGTTGCCATCTACTGAAATCCTTTTCCCCAGTCCCGTGGCACACTGGCCTGAGATAAAATCCCTCAGGACAAAAAAAACCCAACCCAAACAAACAATAAACAAACAAACACGCTCTGAAAGCTATAGGAAACCAAAAATCACAGCAGCCAGGAGCAGAAGGAATCCCACCACGGTCAGGAGAGACAGGAAAGAGCTGGAGGAGGCAGCAGGGACTCTTGTTCTTGTGGGCTTCAGGACACGGTCCCACTGGGTGAGGATGGCCTGCCGTGCCCCCTCCCAGCGCCCAGGACCCCCCAGCCGGTACTGGTAGGGGGAGCAGGGGCCGAAGAAGATGGTGAGGGCCAGCCAAGGGTCTGTGCAGAGCAGCCCCAGCACGCTGGGCTTGGCACCAATGAAGGAGGCCAGTGTGTCCAGGTAGACCAGCCACTCGGTTTTGAGGACTTCGTCAAAGGTCAGACCAAACCTGAATAAACCAGAGAAGAGAAAGAGGCAGGAGGAAGATTGGTATCAGCAGGGCTTAGAGGAACTGGGGTGGAGATCCTCTGCATCCTTGGAGTTATTGCATCTGGAATACAGCTGGGTTCTCTAGGGAAGGACTGGATGTAGGTGCAGTGGGAACCTGTGACACAAATCCTGGCCACCACACAGCTCCTGTAAAGTGATGCTGGCTCGAGTCAACCTTTCTCTTCCTCACTCACAAGTTGCACACGTTCCTCCCCTTCCCCTTGGTGAATCTTTGTTAGCAGACTTTGGCAAACCAGTTTGGGGTCTTTTTCAAAGCAAGCAAACAAAAAACCCCTCAAACCCAAATCCCTTTGTTTTTTGCAGAAAAGTCATGTGCAGCATGAGAAAGGTGGCACCCTTTAGTATCCCTCATGTTCATTTCCACCAAATATTGCAAGAATACACAGTGACTTGGAGAATTGCTTCCAGTTCACCTTCTCTGCAGAATTCACAGCTTATGTCCCACCTTCAGAGGTCTGCAGAAGTCCACATCCACTTAGCCTTGTATGGTATTCTGTGCAATTCTGTACTTCACTCTCCTATAGCTTTTCTCCTATAGCTATTTAAGTGAACCATGGATTTATCTATCACCCAGTTTCCTGGGACTGGCTCATTCATTCCCTAATCCTTTTTAGCCTTTTGCCTGCCTGTGAACCACACTCCAGTGTGCTCAGACACCTGCTCACAGTGAGTCAGGTCTCCATGCTGTGAGGTGAGACAATCTGTGTGTACACCTCCCTGGTTGTGGGTTGGCTTTTTTCCCCCCCAGCTGAATTACTTTGCATTTATTACCATTAATTTCTCTGCCATTTTATCTCTCAGTCCCTGGAGATCTTGGCGTTCTTCCCCAACTCCCAAGCAAGTTTTAGCCTTGAGTACCCTGAATTAATTTCTTCCTGTCACCAACAGGCAAAATATCAGTGTAAAATCAAAGTTTACATTGGCTCTTTGCAAGTGAGTAAAGGGGAAGCTGGATCCAGGAATTCTCTCCTCTCTTCTGCCATGTGTGCAGGGAACAGGCACAGAGTGAGAGCCCCAAAAACTCCAGAGGTTTTTCAATCCTCAAAAAAACCTTTGGGGCTCTGGGGAACGACTTACCATTGGATTTGGTTTTTCTTCCTCTCATTTACTTCCTTCTCCATGACAGCCTGGGGAGGCAACTGACACAAGCCTGGAAGAGAGAGGAGAGTGCCCTGCCGAGTTTAACTCCTGGGGGGGAAGTGTGAACTCATTCAGTGATGCAAAATGTGGGCATCCCTTCCCTGGGAGGGCAGGAAACTCTCATTGCTGGCAGTTTATTTGGCAGTGCTGCAGTCCTGCCCAAAACCAGCCCTCCAGTATTCCAAATTCACCCACACCTCCTCCTGCTCTTACAGATGTGTGCTGTCAGGGCACAGGCAGGTGATGTGGGGTCAGATGGGCTGTGCAAGCCCCAGAGAGGATCATCCCAAAAAGAAACCCCACAGCTTCTCATCTCTGTGGAGTAGTCCTGACCTAGCCCTCCACGAGGTTATTCCTACTATTTTTATTAAAGTCCCTAAACAAAACACCAGTAGGTTTCTTTCCTCATTCATGTTGCTGTAGCTTAGCTGAAATGAAATAACTTGGGAAGTCTGAGCCTTGGAAATGCTCCCTTGTCTGCTCTGAACTTCTTAGCTCTGGGATCTCCCTGGCTGGAGGGATAAACCGTGTCCAGTTTTGTCTGAGCTGCATTTTGGGGGGATAAGGAGGGCTCACATTTGCTCCCCTACCTTTGAAGACACGGCTCACCCAGCGTGCCTGCATCTCTGCCACGGGCATGATGGCTCCAAGGGGCTTAATCAGCCCAAGGACAGCCAGGGTGGGCTTCTGCAGGTGGGCTGGGAACACATATTTGTAGAGGGATGCGTGCTTGTTTTCCACCCTGATGATGGATTCTTCCAGGAAGGGGAAGGAGATGTTGTAGCCCGTGCAGAAGACAACAATATCGATGGGCTCCTCCTCAGGGCAGTTGTGGAAAAGGACTGAGTTGTCCTTGAACTCCTTCACACCCGGCTTGATGGTGATCCTGCCTGTCAGGATGTAGCTTGGGAGGTCATCGTTCAGCACGGGCTCCCGCACCAGCCAGCTGTGGAGAGCCAGGGGCTCTGAGAGTGGGGCACCACAAACAAGCCTTGCTGGTCCCCTGCTCCTCCTCCCACCAGCTCACACCTCCCAGTGTCATTTTTTCTGAGCAAACAGCCTTGCCTCCCACCTCCAAGCAACGACACGTGTCACCAATGTCACCCTGTCCCACAGCATCAGTGATTCATGGACATCTCCTGCTGCTTTATTCTCTTCACTCAGTTACTCTTCAAACCATCTCTTTCCAAAACTGATCCATGCTTTAAGCCTTCCTTCTCCTCTTTACCTGGAGACCCTCACAAGGAGATCTCCTCTGGGCCTTCCTGGGCTTTTCCAGCATGCCCAATCTTTTACCACTTAAGGGAGCTACAGCTTATTTTCTCCTCCCCACTGGAGATCACCCAGTCTGGGCATTGGTTGATGCTGGTTGCTGAACATCTTCCCCTGCCCATGCCATGGGATGGGGACCACCAAGAAGTACCTGTTCTCTGGCTGAAGGCCATAGTTTTCATGGTTGAACCACCGGTTCGCCTTATAATTAATCAACCACCATGAAAGGGGTCCGGGGAGGTTGGTTTTGATCAGGGTCATAAGGCGAGTGTTTAAAATCATATCCCATGGGTAGCCGTGCTCAAACACACGGCTGAGCAGCCAGGCTCCTCGAGTGGTGCTAATGGTCACCTGGAAGAGAAGAACCAATGGTTCAGGTGATGAATTTGCTGCTTTTTAAAGAAACTCAGAGGGGCACGGCGCAGACAGCCGTGAGATGGAAAAGCAGCAACAGCATCTTTAATTTCTCCTGGCTGCTGGTGATGGAGGTGAAACAGGAGACAAGAAGAAAACCAGCTTGCTTTCAAGGTAGCTTTTTGACCAAAAAATTCAGGCTCAGAAAGACTGTTTGTACACCACGTCCCTGTGATGACAGCACACTGAGCTGCTGTCCCCAGTGTCCCCCTCCCCACACCCCTGGGGTGGCAGGGTGGTGGCACCTTTGCAGCGACACGACTGGCCTCCACTGCGATGTCCACTCCTGAGTTGCCCATGCCCACCACGAGGACACGCTTGCCCTGGAACACGTCAGGATGCTTGTACTGCCGGCTGTGGAAGTACTGCCCTCGAAACCTCTCGATGCCTCAGGGGAAAAAGAAACAGAGCTTTGAAGCACTCCAGCATTTGTGGAGTTTGTTGGGAGAACTGGTGTAAAAAAGCAATCCAGATGGCAAAGCAAGGAAGCGCAATCTTTGGCCACCAGGGTCTCTGGGAGGTCCAGCCCTCCATCCCAGGCACACAGAATTAATTGATGCTTCCTCTCCAAAATGGGGTCTCAGAGACAAAGCTGCTGAAGCACGGGAAAGTATTGCTGTTGATGCCAGCAGGTTTGGAAAGCACAAGCAAGAAAAGAAAGGGAGGATTTTCCCCGAATAACCCCTAAATCTTCCCTCCCCAGCCCCTGAAGCAGGTATCCACAGGCAGCCCTGTACCATACCAGGAAAACACTGCAGGGGGAGGGATGGCTCCGAGAAATTGCCGTTGCAAACCATAACAGCATCAAAGACCTCTGATGTCTGCTTCCCCCCTGCCTCTGTGACCACATTCCACTGGCCCGTGGTGGCAAAGTCGGGGTGCTTACGGATGCGGACAACAGTGGTCTGAAACGTGGGAGTGAAGCAAAGTCACTGTCACCATCATATTTTCCAGAAAAATCCCTTTGCCAGGATTTTTTTCTCCTGGGAAGATGAGAAGCCTCAGAGAAAAAGGAAAACAGTATTATCTCATTTGCTTCTCTTGTGTTTTGTGGCTTTGGAATGTGTTTGGAGATTGTTTACCAACAGGTGATTGTTTGGTTGGTATCATGCAAATTGTTTTGACTTAATAACCAATCAGGGTCAGGCTGTGTCGGGACTCTGGAGAGGAGTCACAGGTTTTCATTATCATTCTCTGTAGCCTTCTGTCTGTATCCTTTCTCTATTCTTTAGTATAGTTTAGTATAGCATTCCTAATATAATATAATATAATATAATATAATATAATATAATAATAATAAATTAGTCTTATATGAACACGGAGTCAGATTCATTCCTTCCTCCTCTGACGGGGGACCCTGAAAATACAAGTCACCAGGGGCACCCAGCGTGGGTGTGGAGCAGGGCAGTGCAGGGCACCCATCACTCACCCCAAACCTGATGTGCTCCCGCAGGCTGAAGTGCTCGGTGTAGCGCCGGAGGTAGTCCAGGAGCAGGGCGTTGGGCAGGAACACTGGGAAGTGCTCAGGGAAGGGGAAGTCAGAGAAGGCAGACATCTCCTTGGAGGTGTTGCTGATGACTGACGGATAAAGGCTTGGCCGGCCGGCCTCAATGTGCTCCTGCCACAGCACCCCTGGTGCATCAGCCCTGTGCCCGGGCTGGGGACTGTCCCCCCGCTGCCCTGGCCCCAGGGGTGCAGCTCAGCACCCAGCAAGCCTCCACAGCCCTCCCACCCACTCGAGCCACCCCCTAACCCTGCAAAGCTGCAGCTGTTGAGGGGAGGTGTGGATGGGCTTAGCAGCTGGTCTGCAGGCCAAACAACTGAGCTAACAGAAGAAGAAATGGATAAAATATGAGTTTATCCACAGCAAGGAAGAAAGCAAGGCTGTTAGCATGGAAACCAATAAAATAGACACAAAAGGGGTATTTACAGTTAGAGGATATGTGCCTTAGTGAGCAGCCTATGTGCCTTAATAATTTGTTGCAAACTCTTACCAAATAATTACTGACATTAATTGCTTTGTACCAATAAAATACAATATACAAATATTGTACAAAAATACAAAAAACAATACAAATATTGCTTTGTCCAATGAATATAGCTAGCTGGTTTGATGTAACTAATGACTTGAGATCCTGCTTTGTCAGGGGTGTAAAACATAAGAACAACTTATAACGAAGAAGAAGCCGTTGCTGTCACCGCACAAGTGTGTGTGTGTGTGGTGTGTCCCCATGTCCGAGTGGCAGGGAGGAGGACAGGCCCCCTGGCTCACCGTGTAGCGCCAGAGCCCCCCGATGTCCTGGCTCTGCTCGAAGCAGGTGGGCTCCAGCCCCTCGTCCAGGCAGCACTTGGTGGCTGCCAGCCCGCTGACCCCCGCGCCCACCACGGCCACTCTCATCCCTGCGGGCTCTGCTGGGCTCCCAGGCTGAGAACAGGGCTGCAAGAAACCCCACGATGATCATCACTCTCAGGGGGCATGCCCTCCATAGGGAATTTCTCTATGTGCTACCCCCAAATGGCATTCCATTTCCCAGCATTCTGGGCTCTTCGTTCACAAGTTAGATTCAATGTCTTAATTAATGATTTTCTCTTTTTTCCCCCTTTGTTTTAAAAATCTCTCCACTTTTCCAGTGTGCTCCCTGGGCTGCTTTCAAACCCCTGCAGCTGCCCTGGAAACTGGCTTTGAAAGAATGTAGTTGAGCCACAATTCCCTGCCAGTTTTTATTTACAAGCTGGGTTTAAACTATCCTGCCTTATCAGACCAGCAAATATTTGTATTTTATCTTTGGATATCTGCCCCTGCCTCTCTCAGAAGAAAAAAAAAATGCACTGGAACTATTCAGTTTGTGCCTCTCTGGCAGGGTCCTGTCCCTGGTGGCTGGCTTTGACATGGCCACTGGGGCTGACAGAGGGGCTGCAGGTGTGGCACCCCTTGGGACTGAGGATGATTTTGTGTCTCTTGCAGGGCTTGAAAGGCAACAGCCTCTGAGTTGACACCCAGCCCTACAAAACTCCCAGTGAGGACGATAGATCCTAATCCTTGGTAGTGCCAGGCAATAAAACAAGGGATGAAGGCCAGGCCCCATGACTTGGGCTGGACAATTCCAGAGCCAGGACCCCCACCCAGGTGCCCTGGGGGTGCTGCTGCAGTCTGAGTTTAACCCCAGGGCTGGAGGGAGCGCCCTGCTCAAGTGAGTGATTAATTCAGCATGGCAGGATGTCACTAGGGGTTGTACCAGTCCCTCTGGCCTGAGAAGGGCTTTCAGCTCCCACCAGACACAGGGGATGGTGTAATCATCAGGGGAGAAAAAAAAAAAAAAGTCTTCAGTAAAAAAATGGGGTTGGACACAGGATTTTCTAAAACCCACCAAATTCTCCAGAACTATTTCAGCTTTCGGTCATAGAGCAACACCTAATGAATACTCTGCTTTCCCAGGCTGCAATACAACCTGGACTTTTTCCTTTGTAAATCAAGAAAGCAGCAGCATGAGCTGCTCACTGTTAGCTGGTCTGGGGGAGGCTCTTTTTTTTGGTTTTTTTTTTTCTTTTGCATGGTGGGAACTAACTTATATCACAAACACCTCCCACCTACATTTTGCTATTTGATTCCCTTGAGGAGAGGCTATAAATAACACCCAAGAAATACCAATTCTGCCACCCTGCCACACTTTCCACACTAACCCTGCAAGCAGCCAAACTCAGAAGAGCCCAGGTGTGGCACAGGGAGGGAAGGAAAGGCTTCTCAGCCTTCTGGGAACACTTACCTCCAGCCCCAGCCAGCTGTGCTCTGTGTCACCTCCGCTGTGGGAAGGGAGGGTCCCTCTCGCTCGGGATTTATAGGCGAGACGTGGAGCTGGGCAGGGGCAGGGAGGGCAGGCAGCCACCCCACTGCCAGAGCAGTTGCACAACTCGCTGTGGGAGGAGTGGCTGCAGTGTCCTGCTGTCCCTGGACAGCCCAGCTGTGGGTCCCTGAAGGGGTGGCAGGGAGTGGAGAGCTCCAGCTGTGCCAGGGGCACCCGTGGCTCAGGGGGCAGCTCCAGCCGTGGGGTGTTTTCACTCGCCCCGTGGCTACTTGCCAAAAAGGGGCTGAAGCTGCAGACAAACAGCAGGGGTTTGTCAGGGCTTTGCACCCAAGGAGCCTTTAGGACAGAGCTGGCTTGGTGGTCACTGCTCATCGGGCACATCAGCCACACCAACAGTGCCAGAGCTGGGCAGGAGGCTGGCACCTGAGAGAGCAGCAAATGGCCACAAAACCCGTGCACCAAGGTCCCAGGCACACAGAAAGGGCAACTGTTAGCTGAAACATCACTGCAGGGCATAGAGCCCATCCAGGTATCTCCCAGGAGCAAATGATCATGGAAATGATAAGGGTGGCTTTGGATATTCAGATATTCAATATATTTAGGGGTGACTGGTGAGAAAGTATGAAATCCCTGCAAATGAATCCAGCTGGGCATGGAGAATGTAGAAGCCATGGAGAGACAGTTGATGGAGGACTGGGTCTTTGGAAAAACCAGTGTTTAGAAAAAGACAATGGTATTTGTGCCGTGGGGGGACAGTAAAACTCACAGAGTGAGTGCAGGGGACACAGTCAGAGCTGCCAGCCCCACTAAGGCCTCACCTTGTCACTGACAAAGACACTGCCAGGGCAATGGCCCCAGATTTGGTGCCAGCTCTTTTACCAGTTCGAATAAAACAAGGAGTCCACAAGGGAGGAGGAGAAAAACCCATCCAATGGCTGCAGAACAGAGGGTGGTAAATAAAGTATCCAACAGAGGTGTCTGCTCTGGCCTGTATTTTGATTTGCAGAGGCTGAAGGGATGTGTTTACCAAAAACTGGACCCTTCCCTGGGTGCACAGGACCTTGCTCCTGCAAAAATGCTCACCAGCACTCAGCAGAAAAGAGTCAGGAATCCACTAAGACAAATATTATGTTCTTTATCTGCTTCTGCTTTTTTTTTAGCACCCCAGCAGGCCTTCAAGTGACTTGCACTTAGAGGGATACCGTGGCAGCATTCCAGAAGTGGTGTTAGTGCTTTTAGGAGGGCAGTTCAGGGAAGCTTTCTAAAAGAACAAGTTGTTTTTGGCAAAGATGAGCTGCTGGTACAGAAATGGGACCTGCTGCTGCCACTAAGGCTGGCCCTGGTTCTGGTGAGGAACCCAGTTCAGAGATGCAGAGCTAGATGCAGTGAGTGATACCATGTGAGTATGGGGTAGAAATACCTCCGAAGCCTCAGTGATCTGCCTTAGGGCTGTGGTGTTCCCCTCTACAAGCAGCCCAGGCCAGGTGTGCAGAACAAAGTATTAGAGGAGATGGAGATGAGATAGCAGGGAGGCAATTACTGGAATTGTGCACACACATGCAAAGCCCTTGTCAGAAAACACAGAGAAATTCTTGCTCCTTTACTCACCTCTGCTGGGCATGGCAGCCCTGGCACAGCTCAGGAGGAGCCAGGAGCAGCGAATATCCAGCAGTGGCTGAGGATGAGAACCAGGAATGGGATCCTCAAGTGCCTGTCCACTGGTAAGCCCCTTGTCCCCTTGAGAAGCAAAGCTCTCCAGCACTGTGGCACAAGCCTGGCCTCTGTAATAGCCTTTTTTATCCTCCAAGCAGGAGGAAGGAGAAACTAAATATATCCATTCAGTCTGAATCAGATGGGAAACTCACCTTCTCTGCAAAACTCTGGCACCAGTTTTACAATTTCTGTTTAAAATGACACTTCAGGCCAAGCAGGGGCAAATCTCTGCACAAGCAAGTCTCAGCACAGCCCACTTTGCTGTTTTCTAGGTTTGTTTCAGCATGTGCCATCCTGAAGGGGGAAAAGAAAAAGGAAAACAAAAGTGGAGTTTCTTGTTAAGCCGGTCTCAGAGCAGGAGACCCAGCACCAGGCAGCTGCTCAGGACCTGGTGGGATGTGAACTTTGGGTGAAAATCAGTGAAGCACTTCATTGTCCCCTCTCCAGTGCTCTCACTGCCTGCCCTACAGTCCAGAGGCTTTAATTGACATCACTGCCCCAAGGGTGGCTGCTGCCTCCCCTGCTTCCTGCACAGCTGCAGCACAAGGCCATCCACAAAGTGAGTGAAGAAGCTGCTGGGGGAAAAATGTATTTCCCCCCACATTTCTTGGAGCCTGGATTTTGATCTTTAAAAAAAAACCAAAAAAACTTTTCCTTCACTTCCAAGGCCAAAAGGCATTTTCCTGCTCAAAACCAAGGAAAACCCCTCCCCAAGCAGCTGTTGACCAGTTTACCATTCCCAGCACAGAGGATAATTCCAGTGACAAACACTGGCAGGGCACTTCTGTTTCTGCTTAAACTGAGCTGGTTATGTCCAATATCTTGAAATACTTCCCAAAACCTCTCAAAAGATACCACTTTTAAGGAGATCCAAAACATGTACTGGAGCAGACATGGGCTGTACAGTGACTTTGGGAGAGGGGTTTACTTGTTAAGCATGGATGCTTCTGAAGCGGTTTACTCCAACATTCTTGGCAAAACTTAACCTGATTTAATAAGTCACCATGTTTTCCAGGCATGTAACCTGTGGAATTTCTCAAGAGAAGGCTGCTGCTGTTATTAAACCTACTGTGTTAATAAATCCTGCAGAGCTGCAGGTTTTAGCTTCTTGGCTTTGGAGTTTTTCAAACGTACATTTTACAACTTCCCAAGCTCGATGGACATTTACACCCTGCCTTTAGCACCACATCCTTGAGCCAGGACTCAGAGTGGATCAACACACAGGTCTCAGATGGATAAACACACAGGTTCCATCCCTGGGAGATGGCCCCAAATGCCACACAGCACTAGGAAGGATCTCAGACCCTCCTCAGCTCTTCTGAGCCACTCCTCAGTGTCAAGAGGTCTGTGCCTGTCATTGCCCAGGCAATAAAGCACAGCTGCTGGAGAGACTGGCAGAGCAAACAGGACTTTTGGTGAAGGTAACTCCTAAGCAAAATAATCCTGAGGAGAAGCTGTCTGGGGAGCACAAGGTTAAGGCAGGCACAGCCTGAGCAGGAGGTGCCTTCTGCCACCAGCTGAAGCCATCCATCAGCCTTTGAGTGCTTTCAAAAGTTCTACTCAGTGCTGAGCCTCAAAAATTCCACTCAGCTGAGCCTTCCCTTAAATATTGACCAAGCTCCCAGGCCAGGCACTCTGAATGCTTCCAATTCCTGCTGCCTCTCCCAGAGTGTCTCCTGTGGCTGGGCATTCATTCCTGCCCCAGCACAGGGACACAGCAGGACCCCTAATTCAGGCAGAGACGTGCCCCTGCACCACCCCAGCCTCCCACCCAGCAGCATTTATTCCCCAAAATGAGGGGTTTTAAGAGGACAAGGCCCCAGCACAGCAGGGCACTGCTCTCAGAGCCCTCAGTGGAGCCAGCACAGGCACTGTGGAGCTGCAGGAGCTCTCCTCACCTTCCACCTCCAATTGCTTCACCAGTCCCCAGGTGGGGAGGGACCTTAGGGATGTCTGACCCGTCTCCTCCAAATGCAGCTCCAGCTGACCAGAACCACCTTGTTTCCTTCACCTGTTTTAAGAACTTCTGGTTTTGGAGACTCCCATACAACTCCAGGCTTTGGAGGGCTTTATTTTTGGGATTGAGTTATCTTTTCTCCCCATATCCAAGCCAGGCTGACATTTGAGGAAAATTGAGAACATTTTGCAGCCTCACCCCTCCCTCAGTTTAAATGAGAACTGATTAATGGGATGGAGGAGCTCTGACTGGCTCATGCCTTGGATTGCTAATTGATCTGAGAAGCTGCTGAGCACCCACAGGTGACCCTGGATTCCTGTGACCACTGAAAATTCCTGGATTCCCCAGCACCACTGAAAATGAACCCCACTGGCTGCTGTTTCCTATTTGTAAGCTGCAGGAGGATTTCTATGAAATGAAAGATTTGTCAGAAAACAACACCCAGGAGTGATGCACAGCGTGAGAGCAGGCCTGCCCCTGGCCCTGGCATGGGGACAGGAAAGGTCATCCCAGGGCAGAGGGAGGGGAATAAAGCTGCAGGAAGAGTTAATCATTTACCTGGATTGACACAGATGTCAAGCAACTGAAACAGGAAAAGGCCATGGACCTCTTGGCTCATCATTTCCCAACTGCAGTTTCCCTCAAAAGAGAAAAAACTGCATTTTGGATGTTCTTCTCTCCTCTCTAAGAAGGAGAAACAAAGGAAAGAAGAACTGCAGGTGTGGGAAGGCAGGGAAAAGAAGAAAAGGTGGTCAAATATCCCCAGAGAGAGACAAAAATAAAATTAAATGCTTCAACCTTTCTAATGGCAGTAGAGGTAGTTCTGCTCAACATCTGCAAACTTCTGATGGAATTTTTGTCACATGCTAGAAGAAAACAAGAAGAGAGGGCTCCCATCATCCAAAAGAGCACAGTTTGGAAAAAGCATGGAAAGTCTCACCTACAAAATCCTGCCACCCTGCAGCCTGGAGCTGCCCCACAGCCGTGGCTGAGGCTGGAGGTGCCTCCTGAGCTGCTCAGAGGGTCACAAGAGGACAGTGGGAATCCTGCTGGGGATGGTGCCTTGGAGTGGCCACCTAGAACAGAGCTAGACAAGATGAAGAGAATAAAAGTGGGTATTTATTGAAGGCAGTCAATAGGCACAGCTTGGGCAGCCAGAAGCCTCTACACCTAAGATGGACAATGGTCACGAGTTTTTCAGACAATTATAAGTTTGGTCCATTTACATATCAGGGGTTAATCCTCCAATTAAAACTTCAGGTAATGAAGCCATATTCCCCCAGTTTGCTCCCCCCATTTCAGTTTTGTTCATACTCTTTGGGGTCTGGAGCTGTAGGGTGTCCTTGAGTTTCAGGCCCAGAGAGATTGTTTTGTCTGACCAAAATGTGAAGACAGCAGCCAACACTCTGT